CTTTGAAGAGTTGCGCATAATATTTGGCATAAAATATTGTGGTAAATATGGCCGCCAGTATAGGATTTTTATGGTTTTGCATTAATTGACTCATACTTCACGCTTTTGTAGACGTTTCGGACTTCACCTAATAACTCTCAATAAAATCAAGTTTAAAAGTTCAATTTTAATAACTTATTATCAATATAAGAACAATATTTTATACAGTGACCACTGAAAACTTCTTTAAAAAGTGATAATTTAATGACATATTTCTACTATAAACGCCAATTTAATAACACATTTCTACTCTTAACGCCAGGTTCTCAGTTTAAAACGTATATTCAACAGAATACAATGTAATATTTAATGTTCACTGAATAATATTTAACACAATGTTTGAAAATTTGTAGCTTGTAACAGCAGCTGTTAGATTTGCATAACGCTGTGCATTGAAGATAGGCTTAAGCACATTTACTTCCTCCGGTAGCCTTTTCCTAATTACAGCCACATTTCAACTGTTACATACATGATATTTTTTGCTGGCAACAAATTTGTCCACAGAAGCTATCATAGAAATATTGGATCAGCTTTTTTGTCTTGACCAAGATTTGTATTGGCTTATATCAAAACCAAAGGGTTATTGGTGCCAAATTCAACAACTGGTCAACTTCAAAGGATTTTTGAAAATTGAACGAAATTCAAGTTGATTGCCTCCAGGTGAGCTTAAATATTTTTCCAAGAAAATCAACTTAAAAAATATTTTAAAGATTTAAGAAAAGTTAAACTATTCGCAATTCCAGAAATAAATTAAATGTAATATGCAAGTAAACCGTAATTTTACAGTATTTTTCACCATATTTGTAAGTGCTATTTGCATATTTTGACCTTCTTACTAAATTTTAAGTATTGTTTGAAAGTATAATTTTCTTTACTTGACAATATTTTAATTTTTGATACATTTTTAACATTTTTCTGAAAACCAGCATGTATTTGGAGGCATGCAGCTCCTAAGCTTACTTAAGTTAAGCTGGATAATGACACTTTATTAATTTATGATCGTGTGTTTGGTTAAATGGCGCATTGACACACAACTGGCCATACCGTGCCGAACACTACATAAATTGTAATTTATTTGCTCATATAAGATTATTAAACCTAAAAAAAACATAAAAAATGGTTAAAAGGGAGTTTTATAAAACTTTTATGATACAGGTTTATATCTCTTTAGTAGCCGATCAATGTTAAGGAAGGAAATGGGTCAAAAAATGTGAAGGTGAATTCAATCGATAATGTCTATGATGAACCTGCGCAAGATCATATCATTCAGCATAATGGCCTGTTGAAAGATGAGAATTTGCAACTCTATTGTGTCATGTTGAACATCTAAGAAGACCAACCTGATCATGATGGTATATTAGTCTAAGAGATACAGATTGTGATACGTTCAGTCAGGGGTTTATAGCATATGTTCCAATTTGATTTCCATTCAGATGATATAAGTAAATTTAATGAAGGTTAAAAATCACAATTTTTGTAACAGTAAAGGTTGAGTTTTTAAGGTTTCTTTAGACAAACTTTTCATTTCCTTGTACTCCTTCGTGGCCTAGAATCCAACATAATTTTACTGCCTTGATTTTTATATATTATGAAATCACAAGAAGAGCTTCTTTACCATTATATTATCAAATTTTCTATTTTTGATTGATATAAAATAGCACAGAGAGTGAATCTGAAAAAAAGTTACAAATTATAACGCTGTAAAATGTTTGACAAGGCTAAATCAAAAGCTTTTGCTTCAGCAGTAAATATAGATACATTATCAGGTAGTCTCGTTGACGATGCAAAATGATTTCTATAGACAACTGCACTTTCTTTGCAGCAATCTTTGGAATAGTCTGTGTACATATTAATAAAATCTAGATGTTCTTTGAAGTTTGAAAAATGTTCTTAAATATCATCAGGAGAAATGGATGACTTTTTTTTTATTTGAAAGACTAATTTGATTTACTGGAAAATTTAAGTTCACAGAGAAACATCTGCAACATTTTGAAGAATTTACTTTGTGTCTACTTAAAGTTTTTCTAAACTGTCTTTTAAACGAATGGGCTTGCTTCCTTTAGTTTGTTAAAATATTGTAACTGTAATTTGGTTAAGCAGGATTTTGACCAGTTGATGATACCGTTGCTGCAGATTGAACAGAAAGCTTTTCATCAGAATTTGGAGTCTTACTTTAAAGTTTCTATCGACAAGAAAGGTAGAAATAAAGATTGGAAGTCTACTATTTAATCCTGCATCCTTTATATCTTTATGAACACCCTGTTTCCATTATGTATCATAAGGTTTTACAAGGTCAAATCAAAAAGCCGAGTGTTGTTTATTTATCAAAGATTTCCTTATACAAAATTCGGGATGAATATGATGATTGTTTATACAAAGTTGTTCATGGAAACATGACTGAAAGCTAGAAATTATTCCTTTAACTTCTAAATGCCATACCAAGGGATTATTGACCATTCTATCAAATGTTTTGCATGAATAGCTTGTAAGTGAAATTGGACGGTAATTTGCAGGGTCAATGCTATCCCTTTCAGGTTTAGGAATTGGGAAAACCACAGCTCCTTTCGAACTTTTAGGAAATTCACCAGATAACGAAATCTTGTTAAATATGTTAAGAAGGGCACAAAATGGCAGTAATTCAGGCGATTGATGTGGAAGGTGTTTAAGAAATCATAGTAAATGACATCTGGACCTGCTGCTGTATCTTTTGCTATCTTGATCGAATCAACTAAATCTTTGATAGAACAGAGTGAATTGTGAATTTTGTCAATTGCTGAAGTAATATTTATTCGTTCTCTTAAAACTTTAGAAACTTAATGCTGTAGAAACTCATTTAAAATAATTATTTGAAGAAGACTTTTTTTGCAAATGTTTTCTTAATTACATTTTGTGTTTTTGCATATTGACAATTATTAGATTTCAATTGACTAAGTAGTGGGATATTTTTTTTTAATTTACCGCTTACCTATCTAACTGCATCCCATGCTTTCTTTATATGGATATTTGCATTTATATCTGAAACATTCGTAGTTGCTTGGTCGTATGAGGGTTGCGTTCATTGAACGCTGCTTTTCCTTGTTGATCTTGTTTATCATATTCCGTGACTAACGCTTAGAATTGATCTACTAGCTTTGGCTCTAAATATTTTATGATGTTTTAGGTTTTTGGATGTTGGACAATGCTCGAATTTTTAAAGGTAAACTTTCTATTGACTAAGGCTTTCTAACGTTTATCATTGAACCATCGTTTGTTAATTTTGAAAATTCATTGTGCGTACTTATTTTGGTGGCTGGAATACTCTTGTGTGCAATCTGTAATAATGCTGAAGAAAAGGTAACAACTATTTTATCAGAATTAAAATCAAAATCGGTCTGATTTCTTTTTAAAATTTAGACTACAGTAATAAATCAATAAAATCTCCGATTGAATTCGATCAACTTTAGAAAATGATGTCACAGGTACCAATGTAAAGGGATATATGTTTTTATTTGTGTTTATCGTTATTTGACCATTTACCTCATACAGACGTGTTTTGACGGCTTTTCGCCCCCTTTTAGAGGCCTCAAATAGTGAAATTGCCCTATTTAGGTCCAAAATACTATTTTTCGTATAAAAAAGGGGGTTTGAAAGGGGAAGACCCCCTCATCACAAAGAAAATTTTAGACATGTGACAGGCTTAAAATGACCTCAGGTCGATCTTAAGGTAACGTGTAACTAACGCTGAAAAGCCTTTTACTCTATCTCAATCAATTAAGAAGTTGCAGGACTTTGAAGGCAGATTTTATGGGGAAGAAACAATGCAAAATAGTGATTTTTCGCAATTTTGAGACGTCCTCCCGTTGCCATGGTAACAAGAAATTTACGATTGAGCATGCAGATACAGAGGCTATGGTCCAGTCAACATTCGTGCCAAGTTTCATCAGTTTTGAAGCATTTTTCAAAGTTTCATAGTAGCTCGAACTTGTTTGAAATGAAAACGGCCATTTTTCACAATATGCTCATGCGGTAAAAGGTTAAATACATAAAAATGAGAAATTGTACTTATATTTTATAAATAAATCTGCAATTTCGCCTAACATCAGTAGGATTTTAGATTATTATTTTCACTATAGTAACTGATTCTGTTGGGATTGCACAGAGGCAGCGTGTGTAATAACCATTATTTACATTAGGGACTGTTTACCCCACCCACTTTTCGCGTCTCCTCAGTAAGACAAAGAAAAGCTAAAGGTGTAGCAAACTTTTGTAAAATGACATAACATACCATAAACTTGTTCACTAATGATTGTTTGATATACTTGATGGCTCATTTGAAGCACCAGTAAAAGTTAAACTTAGTTTTTGGTAATTGATTCGATTTTTCATACATTTTTCAACTATAAAATGGCTAAAAATTCGTTATTTTATCCTTCTTTTTCATGAAAAATCAATTTATTTAAAACCACAGTTCATTTACAATATTTAAATTTAACAAAAAAAGGAAAGAATATCCTAATTTGGTAGTTTAAACATAAATATATGAGTATGTGAATATTTTATAAAATTCAGTTTTGGTTTTGCTTATGTTAGTCTTTGTACTAAAATAAAGTGTCTGAACAAATTAGTAAGATTAATTCAATTTCACTTTAATCAAAGTTACCATTCAATAAGTAATCACATTAACATCATGTCTGCATCTATGTTAATTAAAAAAAATGACATGATAGACCATTCTGTCTTACTAAAGTTAAAGTTTAATAATGAACAATGTATAATGCTTTGTAACAGTTCCAAACATGACGCTCAAATGGCAGTATTGTTTCTTTAGATATACAGTACAAATATATTGTATATGTATCGTGTGAAAATCTCATAGCAAGAAAAATGCATGTTAATGATTAAATCCAATAATCTAAATGACAAATTATCTGCATTATTTATTTGTTACTTACTTTAAATATGCATTCAAATTTTTTTTTCAGGGCAAGAGAACGTCGAGGACACCTGTCAGATGCGGGTTATGGCTCAAGAGTTTCAGCAGGATCAAACATTGCAAGCGCTGTAATGGGTAAAATTTGTTTTAATTGCCACGTGTATGTCCAATTCAAGAATAAGCAAGACTTTTTTGCATAAAGAAAATGATATTATTTATCTTTGAGTTATACTCTATTTTAAAACTACTAATTTAGCATGATATAAGTGACATTAAACCCCTAACATTCAAGATGCAGAGAGCGTAAAGCTACGATCGATAACAAAATAATTCTGCGTTTTTAACAAACTTCCTTTTTTGCAACTATTCTGTTTCTAATTTTTCCAGCTCGTCACGGTCTGTTTGGCATAACAGGTCCAGGAAAACGGAAACGCCGTCACTCTGTAGATAGTGATAGAAATGGAATGAATACACAGATGTTTCTACAATATTCACAAAATACTTTCTAAACATGGCTGATATATTATCTATTTAGTCTATATAAACATTGAATTGCAATAATAAATACTGTTGTATTATCAATGAGGGGAAAATATAAATATCATTTTATTGCTTGGCAATAGTGACCTGACACATTTGAATATTCAATGACCTTTGGTCGGTATAAGTCAGATTCCGAAGTAAATCATATCGATTTTAAAGTATGGCATAACGCTTTACATGGTTTATGTATTATAAAAAGTAACCGAAACAAAATAGCCTCAATGAATAGGTGTTAAGACTTAAAGTTTCAAATTGAAGGTTATAGGTTCGAATCTTAATGAAACAATATAATCAATTACAAAATGATTTAAGAAAGCTGAAAAAAAGTTTCGTCTTTCAATTTCGCGGTTGTTATGCTGTCATACTCACAACTATGTCAGTGAGACGTTAGTATTAAATATAGTATCGAGTACTTTAATATAATTCAAATCAATTAGTTAATCGTAATGAATTACGGAAACTAACGAAAAAGCTTCCAATAAATAATGAGTCTCAGGTCAATATTGCCAAACAATATATAATCATCAATTTTTAATACATTGTTTACATTTATTTTTGTCTAAGAAATACTTTTAATTCCAGAAATAAATTCCAAAAATCAAAATGGCTTAATAATAGAATACATGAGATGATCAGTTCACGGTTATTAATTAATTTTCTTGTGCTCTTTCTTCAACAATAATTTATTATATTTGTCGAGCTATTTGTTGATTTCATTTGTAATGAGAGACTGGAAGAAATCATAAGAAAAAAAAAGTGAAAAGTGAAATCTGTGCTTGAATTTTGTAATAGCAAGAAATCGCTTTGAATTAAATAGTTTACTATGCTTTTTGATATTTTCATGTTTTTTTTTTAGCTTACTTTAACAAAGACAATCGTTTTTATTGATCTGTTCAGGAGTGAGAATGTGAGAATAAAAAAACTAATAAAACTTGAACTTTAAAAATAATTTCATCAAAGGTATAAATTATTCTTTGAAAAGCAAATACATACGAATGTTATAAGATAATGTAAACACACATAATATTTTATCTCATCTGTTTTACAACCAAACTTCGGCCCTGTGTACTATGTATGGGAAAATAGAAAAGTAACAAGGTTGTAGATTGAAAAGGGGCAAATTTATTTATTTGCCTAGAAAGTTTAAACTAGTAAATATAAATTTGCCATGAAAGTTTAAACAAGTAAATATAACTACAAACAAGTAAATATAACTACATATAACATATTTTTCCATATCTGGGCGACGAAAACCGCCCTTTAAACAAGTAAATATAAGTACTTATAACATAATTGTCTGTATCTCAAGATTTAAAAAGTTCATATATATGACTTAATGGTGTAAATATTATAAGAAATAATAAAAACCAATAGCCAAACAGAGAGTAAACGAAATAAGAGGTGGAGGAAAAGGGAGGCGGCGGTTGAGCAAAATGAGTAAGCGTATTATCCTTTGCAAAATAATGGCTAAGAATGAAGATGCCGGGTTTTGATTGGTTAAGAAAGTCATGTGATAACATTGTACTCTCTGATTGGCTAATGGTAATTCCTAAAATAGCATATCAGTGGAAGGGAATTAAATTCACGAAAAGTACAACAATGTTATAAATTATTTTATATGTTTATAAAATATATTTATCTCATCTGTTTTACAACCAAACTTCGGCCCTGTGTACTATGTATGGGAAAATAGAAAAGTAACAAGGTTGTAGATTGAAAAAGGGCAAATTTATTTATTTGCCTAGAAAGTTTAAACTAGTAAATATAAATTTGCCATGAAAGTTTAAACAAGTAAATATAACTACAAACAAGTAAATATAACTACATATAACATATTTTTCCATATCTGGGCGACGAAAACCGCCACAAAAGACCAGGAAACCTGGTCTGCCGCCCAGATACACAGGGACCGAAAGTGAGATGCTCAAAGTTAATGAATTAAAATAAATATAAGCATGTTAGCTTACAATGTAATCTTACATTTCTTTATGAACCTGAATTAACAAACTTGTACAAGAATCACAAGAGTAAGGTTAAACACATATCTAGACTATAGATCCTAGAGAAACACAAAAATGTACATCTATATATAACAAGTTAACATGGTTTTTTATGAGTATGAACAACAATATGTTACCAGGATAAACAGAAAAAGTTTAAAAGTATCTATGTTGAGCTCACTGCCTCAGTCAGTCAAGCTTAGATGTCAAATAATAGAAGTTACCTAATGTGGAACATTGATATTTAACAATCAACAGTAGACATAGTATCTCATGCCTTTCGAAAATTTTATACCTTAATACTTGGAGCTCGCTGCCTCAGTCAGACGAGCTCCCGTATTGAATGAACACATATAAACAGGCATGTGAATATTTTGACTAGGTAAATGAACATGATTATTTACAAGTAAATTTAAACACAGAATATACAAATAAAAGCAATGTTGGAAAATTCTATAACCTTAATACTTGGAGCTCGCTGCCTCAGTCAGACGAGCTCCTGTATTGAATGAACACATATAAACTGGCAGGTGAATATTTTGACAAGGTAAATGAACATGATTATGTACAGTAAATTTAAACAACGAATATATAAATAAAAAGCAATGTTAACCAATATTTGTGGTATCGGATGCGATAACAGTGCTGGTTTACAGCCAAATGAAGTACTTGCCGTCTAAAGCAGTCAAGTATCTCTATGTAATTTGCCGCCTCAGACGGTCAATTACCAGTATTAGTAACTGATTCTCTGCCTCAGACAGTAGAAACAAAACCTTGCTGCCTCAGACAGTCAAGGAGAAAATTAGGTGCCTGAGTATTCCAGGTGATATGTTTTTTGTGCATGATAAGTCTAAGTTACCACACTACGGTTAAGACTTGGCCTTAAATATTTTGTGAATGCTTGAGACGACCATCTTCCTAATTGTTGGATTTGCGCATTGGAAAAATGACGGTCATAGGCTAGGGTTGCACCCCCTATACGGAAAGAGTGTGTGGTGTATTTGCGTGGGTCTAATTGACATTTCCTGACACATGACCCTAAGATACGTCAGAAAAAGGATGAGTTTACTGGAGCCCCGTTTTTGAAACAAAAAAGTGGGCCTTTGCGTATGCTGAGAGCTTTAACATATTTCAATTATGTCCTAACCGGACAAAGTGACTTTGATTGACTAAGTTATAATTTTTGCTATGTTGCCTTGAGAAATGCTTGAAATGGTCAAGGGTAATGGTAGCTTGAGTAAGTTTACCGGCTTCATATTGGAACGCAACATTTTCAAGTTTGACAATGTTGTTCGCTCCTGTTTTTGCAACAGAAATTTTCGCCTTGCCGCAGCAGAGCATAGAATGCTGTTAAAAACATAGTTTTGTTCAATAATCGAACATATGCACATGATGTTACTTCCTTCAGGGCTTTAATCATTAATTTCAGGAGAGGGAGAGTGAAACCCTGACGTTTGTCTGGCACTCTTGATTTTCTAATGCTGTATAAAAGCTTTTGGATGATATATGATTTGCAAGGATTTTTCCATCTGTTGATGCGATGGAAATATGACAAAGCTGATATCAAGGTTGTGATTGTGGATGGTTTGAGACCCATATCATGGCATACTCCAATGAATTGGGCTAACTTGTAGACTGGAATGGGGAACAAACTGTGCTTGTGGTGCGAGTAATGCGAGTTATGAAAACGGGAATACTGTTTAACCGCATTACGATAACTAAGTTGAGTAGAAGGGGCTAGAGAACTGTTAAGGATGTTGAGAACAGCCTTGTTCAGGGAAGAAGAAGCAGGTTGTCTGGCACTTCTGTTGGTAGTGCATCCATATGCGGGGCCAACCGTTGAAACTGTTTGACCTGTAAACGTGAAAGTAAATCAGGTAAAGTGTTAGTTTTACCTGGAATGTGTTTAGCATGAATTAATATATTGAATTGCATGCATGCCAGTACCATACGGCGAACAAGTTTCATTACATTTGAATCTTTGCTAGATTGCTTATTTATAATATGAACTGCCGCATAGTTATCTGAATGTAATGTAATGCATTTGTTACGTAACCTAGAACCCCAAATTTCCAAGGCAAGTATGATTGGGAATAGTTCTTTAAAAGTTATTTCAAACTTTGCCATCGGTATTGGCCATACCCCATAGAACCAACTAGTTTTAAATATTGCTCCGTAACCAAGGGAACCTGCTGCGTCAGTATATAGGTCTAACACAGTTGTTGACAACCAACGTTGGTCCAAAATCAAATTTTTGCCATTAAAATGTTGCACAAATAATTTCCATGCTTTAAGATCGCGTCTGCTTTCAGCCGACAATGTAATATGGTGATTAGGCTTTGTAACTTTTATTGTGAGGTCAATTAGACGACGTAAAAAACATCGTCCCGGAACAACTACTGAGCAACAGAAATTTAATAACCCTATCAAAGATTGTAGATCTTTTAAAGTAATTTTTCTTCGGCCTGTATGGAAAGCTAGCAATGTTTGGAGTTTAAAAAGTTTATCTTGTGGTAACCTTGCTTCCATAGTTATGGAGTCCAGTTCCAAACCCATGAAAGTTATGACTTGACGAGCGTTTTCAGTTTTTTCGTCCTTAATAGGAACCCCGGTGACATTACATATGGTAAGAAATTTTTTAAGATAACCCTGACACTCATTAAAAGTGTGGCCAAAGAATAAAAGTCATCTAAAATGTGAACTAAGGTAGGGATGTTCAATTTTTTTATGCTAATCCAGTGTAAGGAAGAGCTAAAAGCTTCAAATATAGCGCATGAACTGGACGCTCCCATTGGTAAACAAGTGTCATAGTAATAATTGCCTTGAAAAAAGATACCTAACCGATCATGGTCTTTCGGTTGTATAGGTATTATCCTAAAAGCATCATTAATATCTGTTTTTCGCAAAATAACAGCCTGGACCAAATTGTAACAGGGCTGTTACAGCGTCGTCAAAAGAGGCATATTTAACTGTAGCCAGTTGTGGGTCAATGTGGTCATTTATGGACTTGCCCTTAGGATGACTCAAATGGTGTAT